GAGAGAGAGAGAGAGAGAGAGAGAGAGAGAGAGAGAGAGAGAGAGAGAGAGAGAAAGCTGGAAGCCGGAGGAATATGAGCACAAGGTCAGCACATGTTACACTTTGAGATTCTGTTAAAACTATAACAATATGGTCAATACATCAACAGGAATGCAAAGTGATTAAGAGTTTAGGGTCTGAGTCAAGCACACAGTGGACCCTCAGAAAGTAGTAAAATATTCATTTTACTCTATAACCCTCCCATACATTAGAATCTTCTTTAGTTTATTTCTTACTCCTAATGTGAATACTTCAGACACTGGTTATATTGTGTTAAGTAAGGGAAAAGAACAGGAGGAAACAATACATTTTTCACTGTAGACATATTGCATTTAAGTAGCTTACTTCCAAGGTTTGTCTGTTCCTTAAATGTAAAATCCATAGATATCAAGGACCTGTATTGATTCGTGCTACAGTTGCATATTCATTTTGTATGTGTGATCCACGCCCATGTGTGGAGGTCAGAAAGTGATTTTTGGGAGCCAATTGCCCAGGGACTAAGAAGTGAGTTAAGGCGAGTGAACCTGTCCTTTATCTGCTAAGGCATTTCACTGGCCCAAATTTGTTTGTANACACTTGCCTAGCATGCATGAGGCCCTAGGTTCAAGCTCCACTACTGACAGGAAGAAAAGGAAATCTAACTGTTCAGGGTCAATATTAGTATACAGAGATACAGCTCATCTGGGCACGTTCACTTTGTTGTCCAACAATTTTGCTAGTTTTGTTCATTTAGTTCTGAGAGTTTCTGTAGAAGGTTAAGGATTTTCTACAGTCAAGCTCATGTGTTTTCAGATGTGTATTTTACCACCTTATAATCGGGCACCTTTTATTTCATTGTCTAGCCTGATGGTTCTGTGTGGTGTGTGTCCTAAGAGTCTCTTGAACAGAAGTGGTCACAACAGCATCCTTTGTGCTTCCTGATCTCAGAGAAAAAACTGCCAGTGTCCCCACGGAATATGATGCTGGCTGTGGGTTTCCACGTGTGGCCTTTGTTAGACTAAGCTGGACTTCTACCCAGTGTCAGGGTTTTTGTCATTAAGTCTGTGAAATGTCAAATGTTTCCATTCAATCTTGCTGATTATACAGCTATTCTATTTTGTTTATTTCTGTCTCTAAAGCATCATGGATTCCAGGAATTTGTCTGCTGCATCTCAGCCACCCAACAGCTAGCTCATAACTATTGAGTTCTCTTGAAACTCTTCTTTCCGTCAGAATAACAGAATGGTCTCAAATTTTAGTAATAGCCATCTCTTTTATCCAAAGTTAATGTGGGAAAGGGCTGGCAATATTGCTAAGCATTTTTGAAGAGTCAACATCTGGTGCATCATCTTTCTCTCCTGGTACCGTTTGTTCATCTTCATCCTATTCTTTATTTCCCTCCCACCACTAGCTTGGGGTAGAGCTTTTAGGGAGGCAAGGATCTTATTATATAACCCAGACACACCTCAAACTCACAAGCCTCCTGCCTCAGCCTCTGATGCTAGGGTTCTAGGTTACATCATATTCTTCACCTGCATTCTAGTAAGTTTTTGGTTTGGGAGATTTATTTTACTTTATTTATTTATTTTGTTTTTCAAGATAGGATTTCTGTATAGCTTTGGAGCCTGTCCTGGAACTGTCTCTTTAGACCAGGCTGGCCTCGAACTGACAGATCTGCTTACCTCTGCCTCCTGAGTGCTGGTATTTAAGGTATGTGCCACCATCATCCATCTCTCAGAGTAATTTTTAACGACTTAATATAATAATCAAATACCCTTTTGGCAAAATATCACACACTGAGAAAGTGAAATAAATGTTAGCTGCAATTATTCCCAGCACTCGTGTTGGCCGTGAAGTCAGGTAGCCAGGTCTGTCTCTGGTCAACCATACAGATTCAAGTACTTTTTACAAACCACTGTTAGCCTCAGTTTTTTCATCCTTTAAATGGAAATAATTTCTATGTGACAGACTCATCATATAGATGAAACTAGATATAAATACATGCCGAGCCACATCATAAATGCCATACCACGATGGCCAACATTTGCATTAATAATACATTGAGCAGACTGGTTAGAGTGGAGCCTCAGATGGCTACAACAAGGGGTAAAGAGGTGAGGAAGGTTTTATTACATGAGGGATGTGGGGAGTCCCATGTTATCCAAGAAGTGAAACCCCTATAGCATGGTTACTAAATAAATATGGGAGGGAAAAAAGGAGAGGGTGTCTGATGCAAAATTCCAAACCTGGTAAGTTACTATCCTCCAAGATGTGGCCATGATGGGCTCAGATGAGCAAGGCATTAGTGAGCGATACACTTGTGAAGGTGAGCATGAGATAGCCCTCAGACCACATGGAAATATGATCCCTGTGGAGTCAGAGAAGGAGGCACATCTTAGATCGATGTGTAGTTCCAGCAGAGTTTCTGCAAGGTTGAGCCTGAGTTCCCCACAGTCACCAAGCAGAGGGACGGGGTCTTACAGAGTCTACCTGGCCTTCCTACCCCTGCAGAAACCATGGTCTCTGTGGAGAGGAGCTGGTACACTGAGAGTCACTAGCCTGGCCTCTGTCACTTAGATCACGGCCACAAGAGACCACTTATTCACGGCTGCCACAGCTGAGACCCCGAGAAAAAGATGAAAACGCTGGGAGTTTCAACACAAAATAGCAGTCGCCCTGTCTCACATTCCCATGGCTTCACATGATTGCCTGGATGAAATTGATGGAATCGGGGATTGGAAGGAAGAGGGAGAAACCAACTTAGAAACACAGCAAGGGTGGAGAGACACTTGCTAAGAGACCCTCACTTCAGCTGACACTTCACCTTCCCACAGAAAACACATTCCCCAAGAGGGTGAACAGAAATCATCTCATGCTAAGAATTCCCTGGGCACACCACTGGAAAATATTTTTACTTCATTTCTTGTTATCTTTTCCTTCCCAACACAAGAGAGTGGCCTTCCGGGGGGTGCAATTGCCGGCATCATCGTTGGAGCTATGGCTGGGGTGACTCTGATAGCAGCCCTGGTATATTTCCTTTGTTTCAAGAAGAAATAGGGTAAGACAGTTTTTTCCCTTTTGTAGTCTCCAAGTCTTAGTGTAATGTTTGGGAGTGGGCAAGGACTTCTCTCCCTCTGCCTCTGAGCTGGATCTCTTTGCCTCTCTGTTAACTCTCTGCTTCTCAGCACTGAGCCTGTGGGTTCAGCCTCCCTGTCTTCAGGCTCCCTGTCCTCTTCTCTCTTGGAGTCCATTTACAAATAGATAGAGAAAGATTGAATTATACCTTTATTCTTCAGTCAGGAAGCCAAGGTTCAAGAAGAAAGGAGAGTGAGGGAATCCAAGGAGCAGCAGGAGGATATAGGTGGCATGTCCCTCTGACTGCAGTAGCAGTGGGGGGAGGGGAGTTGGAAGGAGGAGGGACCCTAAGATCAAGCAACAGAAGAAATAAAATCCTCTTGGTCAAGAAAATGAGTAGAAAAAAAGCCAGGTGGTGGTGGAGCATGCCGTTAATCCCAGTACTCTAGAGGTAGAGGCAGGCAGATCTCTGTGAGTTCAAGATCACCCTTTCTACACAGCGAGTTCCAAGTCAGCCAGGGATACACAGAGAAATTCTGTCTCAACCCTTCTCCTCCCAAAAAAAAAAAAAAAACAGGAATAAAAAGGGAGAGAAAGAAAGGAAGAAAGGAAGGAAGGAAGGAAGGAAGGAAGGAAGGAAGGAAGGAAGGAAGGAAGGAAGGAGAGAAGAAAAGAAAGAGAGAAAGAAAGAAAGAAAGAAAGAAAGAAAGAAAGAAAGAAAGAAAGAAAGAAAGAAAGAAAGAAGAGTAGGAAAAACCATATCCGCACTTGGAAATCAAAACAGGGTATTACGTAGGACAGGTGCAAACCATCAAAGATAAGAGAGCTACACACCAGGGATACAGCTCAGCAGTAAAGCACCAGCCCTGGGTATGGTCGCAGCACCAGGGACCAAAGTAGAGTAGATTCAGAGTCCAGCAAAGAAGGAACAAGGCCTCAGGAGGGAAGGCAGTGCCAAGAATGGGGTGATGTAACTTCAGTGACAGCAAGGAGCCCAGGAATGAGCTGCCCACAGCATCCTACCCAACTCTAAGAGCAAAGATCCCCTGTGTGGGAAGAGTGGTCACAGTGTCTGATATTTACTTGGGGGAACTGACCAGCGTGATCTCACAGAGCACAAACCCTCAGCCTCCAGCCACAGTAAGTAAAGCCACTCACAGAATGAGAACTGGCTTTCTGCCACATATCCTGCTCTGCCAGGGGATCCTGGGCTCAGAGACTACACCTTCCTTTCTGCATGTTTGCAGAAGGGATCTGCACTTCCCTGCACTGAGGATCTCATAAATCATAGCCTTCCTAATTACAGAGGAGTTGCCTGAGAGAGCCCTGAGAAGCTCATTCCACCAGACTAGGCAGGCCTAAAGAAGTCACGTTTCCAGGGGTCTCCTGATGCCTTCCTTCCTGCCTCGATTATAGACGTAGACATCTCCTTTGGGGAGACTTTTTTGGTCTTATGGAATATCTGGGTGCTGTGGCCTCTATGTTCCCCTTGCCACTGGCGCATGCTGCTGAGAATCACCTCTGGGCATCCTGTGAACTGGGCAAACAGAAGGCTCTATCCTGCTCCTCCTCTGATACTAACACAGTGGGTCTGAGCAGCCTCTGAGGGAAGCTAATTCCTGAACTGACCATGGCCACCTCCCCCTGCAACCCCTGCCACCTGCCAAAAGTCAGTCAAACCTTCAGTCAATTTTGCACTTCTGTACACTGACAACTCTCTCTTGCTCCCCTAGATCTGGGCCCCTCTGACAACTCTCCTAACGAGGTAAGCACTGCCACTTTCACTGGCTGTTTGCTCATAAAAATGTCTCTGAAGAATGTGCGCTGGCTGTATTGTTTTGGTTTGTGTACTTGTTTGTTGAGAGAGGGTCTCACTGAACAGCCTTGAACTATGTAACCCAGGCTGGCCTTGAACTCTTGACCATCCTCCTGCCTTAGCCTCTCATGCGCTGGGATGGCAAAAGCATGCCACCACACCAAGCTGAGAATGAGGTATTCTTGGAGACATAACTGTGAAATTCAGCTTGGGTCTGCATTTCTTAGGGCTGCAGCAAACAAAGATTGGTTAATGAGCCCCATGAGTCTAATACAAGAGTGTGTGTTTGGAAAAATCCCCACCCAGTGCTTAATTCCTGACCTTGATTCCTTGTATTCTGTGGCCCTTGACAAGGAACTTGAATGTTTTGATCCTCAGTCTTATCACCTGTGAAATGGGCATTCTGCCTACCTCAGAAAAGAGACTCAAGGGAATAAATGAGTTGACACATGCACGGCACTGTGCACGCAGAGACAACAACGCATCTTTCTCTTCTGATCTGAACCTGCTCTGACCATAAAAAGGATGGATTCCATTCTAATGGGTCTGAGACCCTGTTTCCACCTTATATAACAATTTTACCAAAATTTTATCATTGCAGCCTTTCAACCGAGTACAGGCATAGACTGAAGAGTACTTTAAATCATAAGGACACTTTCAAAGTGTGAACTCTCGCAGGTTGACCACACTCAAAAGCAGCAGGCAAGCTAAGTTACTTCACAACTACCCCCACCCCGCAAACACACTTTGCTGTCACTTCCCAACAAATAGCAGTGGCGGTCAGGATGGCCCATACCCTCGCTCTCTGTTCTGTGGCCCATCTGGATGTCTCTCTTGATTCCTCCTCTGTCCCCATGGCTGTCTCACCCTGTTTCTCAACCTGTCTCCTCTAGTGACCACACATCAGACTGTCAGACAGTGAGTGACGGGTGTCCTCTCCCATGGCTCACCTGGCACAGAGGCCACAGCACAGTGGGGCTGGTTCACCAGCAAGGTGAGGTTCTGACCTGCGGGACTGATGTCACTGACCAGCACTCATACTTTCAGGTGGATGACGTGGCATACACCGTCCTGAACATCAACGGCCAGACACCCAAACCACCAACTTCAGCCTCCCCATCTCCAAGAGCCACAGAAAGTTTATTCAGAAGTAAAAGAGAAATGATCATGCTGGCTACACTAATGATGCATTTCCAGAATCTCATCCTCACTAGGAGATCTCTGTACCATGAGATGAGGAAACACATGTGTGTATGCACGCACACACACAGCTCCAGGCGGCAGCATCTTCAGTATCAATAGAAGGAACAATGTATTCTGGAGCCTACAGGAAACCCAACCTTTCTTGGAATTGAAACTTGGCTGAGAAAAGGGCACCAAAGCTGCCCACCCTTCACTCCCCTTCATGGCTTGTTTTAAATTGACCTATTCAGAGCACAGTCATTCTCCCCAGCTCCAGTCCTGTCCTAGCACAGTCTGACTTGAATTCCCATAACCCTGGACGTCACCTAAGTGCTAATGCCAAAAAACAAAGGACAAGCAGGAAACGGGCATTCCTGCGTCTTTAAAGCCCGATGTGAAGCCATCATACACGGGAAGATAAAGTCTCAGCCAGAGGTCTCAGGAAATCTCCACGCCGACAACCGTCATGCTTGCCCGGCTGTGGCATCAGGGTCTCTGTATGTTGTGCATTTACACCTGAGCCCACCTCTGAGCCTTTCTCCAGAAAACCCACTCAAAGCAGCTAGCAAAGCTCTTTGGCAGCATCCACTGCCATTGCTAACGCAGAGGGCAGGTGCAAAGACAGCATCTCTAGCCTCTACGAGGAAGGAGTCCAGAAAAGCAGGGCTGGTGAACTGACAGTCTCCTGGAATCTGAAAACAGAACAGAGAGATACCCTACGTGGAGCATTGAGACTGTTTCTAAAGAAGCCACGTTTGAAGGTACTGGAGTTTGCTTCTCTGCAAGACAACCCACTACTTGAATTTTTGTTAACTGCTGACTTGGCTCAGTGTGTGAGCTGATAGGTCTGCCTTAGGGGCAAGAAGCCATTGCACCTCCAGCTCCCTTGGCCTCTCAAGCCCGTTTGATCAAGAGTTCCAAACAAAAAATAAATAAATGAATAACAAGACAAATCACTTGTACAACCACAGCCTAGTGTCAATCTAAGTCTCCTACTTCCCTGAATTCCTCAGAAAAGCCTGACATTTCCTTTCTCCATGTCTTCACCTTGATTGTTGGACACTGGCCAGAGCCTACACAATATTTCTCTGACACTTTTGGCTTCCTTGCTCTCTCCCTGGAGCTCTCCTGCCCCCACCCTCTGCAGGCCACCAGCAGAACTCTTGCCTGACTCACAAGCCAGCCATTCCTCCTCCACTCCAACACCTATCCAGGCCGATGCTGAGATTTCCAGCTTGTCTAACTTGCTGTTTTGCTTTTAAACTCTAACAAAAACTGTCCTCGGCTTCAACAACTAACAACAGGCTTTCCTCATTCCCACCCCGCTCCTGGAGATCCAGGACCAGCCTCCAAGTACCCTTCTGCAGTGTTTCTGCCTGTGCATAGTATGCCCTTTCTTTGGCTTCTCTTTTTGACTTTTATTTTTTGAGACAGAGTTTTAGCATGTAGCCTGAACAGGCTTCAATATCACAATAACAGTTTCTACAATCTCCCTCCTGCTGAGATTACAGCTCAGGCCACCAGGCCCAGCGGCTTGTGCATTCCCTGACTGCCCTACACTCTCAGGAATCCTTGGCCTCTGCTACTGTGTGTTTGGTCCACATGAATTGTGCCCTTAAAGGAACACAGTCACTCAAGCCGAAGACATTGTTTACATCCTAGAGAGCTGTGCACTGGTGCTCCCCTGGGAATGTGGGACACTTGCAGGGGGTTCTTTCCCAGCCCTGGGCTTTCAACAGCCTCAGAAACCTACTTTTTCCCACCTGGGATGAATCCCAGCAACAGGAGAAGAAAAGGCCAATGTGCTCTCAGGGATCCTCTCTTCAAGACGTACCCCCACCCTGTGCCTGCTAATCAAGGGTTTTATTGGATATTAAGTGTTTGTTCTCATGCCGTGCCTAACGGGTCTTCCAAGACAGTTATTCTGGAGTTCTTGTACTTGGGGATTTCTCTCAGGGACTTCCAGCTCAAAGAAATTCTGTGTATATTTTCCTTCATTAATTCTATTCTTGATTATTTAAAATTGCCTGGCTAACGCCAAATCTGAGTTATTTGTAAATTTCCCCTATGTTCATAATAAAATATCACATATTTCTAATGCTACTTTGTGGGGTTTTCTGTATTTTGTTTATTTCTGCTTTTGCCATGCTTAGGGTGGATGCTACGGTCTTGCATGCACTAGGCAAATGCTCTACACTGAGATACATCCCTACCTGGTACCAACTAGACAATGTCTTCCTTACAGGTAGAAGACGACAGCTGCTGGATGGGGGGACAGAGTGAGCCTACTGCTAAGTAGTGTACAGTAGCTCTCTGATGTAGTTGTCTATAGAGACCTGCATGGAGCTGCACCTGATGGTGCTGGCTTCTGCCCTCTGAGATCCCGAAAGCGAGTGCTTTCTGTGATAATCAACTCCTTATATGGCTAAGGCCTGACTCATACTATTATCACGCAATGATTGTCAGCTGCTTGTATATGCATGGACCTATGGGCGGTTCCCACCTGGCAATCCGGGGTTGGCGGCCTGTGTGTTTTTAAGGGCTGGGAGAGGTTTGCCCGGAGAGAGAAAGAAAGAGAAAGAGAAGGAGAAAGATTACTGTGAACAAGATCCTGATTAAACTGCTTGCAAGAAGAGCTCCAGTGTTGTGTCTTCCTTGCTGGTTGAGGCAGGCGCGACAGTTGTCTAGGAATTAGCTAAATGCACTGCACATTTATTAACAAAGTATACGTGCAAGCAACAAGCCAATCCCTGAGCTGCCCAGAAAGAGCTGTTTACAGTCCTCTAAGAGAGGGGGGATTACGGGAACAAAGAGCCTCTCTGGTCCTTTCCATCACAGTAAACAATTCCTCCAACCCAAGTGGCTCCAGCCACTCAAAGGCAGCAATGCAGCTTTCAGCTCAGAAATCTCCACATGTTGCCTCACACTGAACTGTCTCCAGCACTTCCTGTCCCTTTCTCATCGCTAATTTCCTGCCTGTCCTCTTAAACCTCTGACCTGAATAAGATCCGTGTAGTAATTCCATCAAGTGCTACCCTGGCATCTCCTTTTCCTCCCTGGTAAACAATGACAATGCATGTGTGGCCGGCCCTTCTCCTGTCCCATTTCTATACCCAAGATGCTGGAAACACCAGGAAACCACTGCCACTTCTTGGATCCAAAGGGGTATGTCACCCTCACACCATCTACAACCACAAGCAATTCTTCTTTTTGGGTCATTTGTTTTGCATCCACCACTAACATACAGCATTCTGACACAAGTCAGACCTCAGATGCTTTGTGTGCCCACCCTTTGCTCAGCTCCAAAGGTATCTGCAGATGGTTCCTGCATGTGTATCTCAAGCCCCTACCTCTTGCTGGAACTCACGGCACCTGCCTCCAAATAAGTACTCATGCAAATAGCTCATCACCCTCAGCACATGGATTTCTTTGTTTTAGATTCATTTTGAGTGTGTGTTTATTTGCTTTCTTTTGAAACAGAGTCTCCCTGTGTAGCTCTGGCTGATCTGGAACTCACTATGTACACCAGGCTTAAACTCACAAAGATCTGCCTGCCTCTGCCTCCCAAGTGCTAGAATTAAAGGCATGAGCTCCAGACCTTACTCCCTTAATGTATTTAAAAAAATGTTTTTACCCACACATATGTTATATGTCAAGCATGTTCTCACGTCTTTATCATTCTCAGTTCTCATTAGATGTGTCTCTGATACATCCCTGTGCCTCTACCATATGTATGCATAAAATTCTTAGTCCCAATGCTAGGCCTACAGATGGACACCAAGCAGCACGATTTCTCCATTACATTCGTTGTGGTCA